GAAAGTAAACTAAATAAAAGGTCTAGCATTCCTTGAAGGCATTTTCATGCCAGAGTTTTAGATAATCTTCTATTGCAAAATGAAGTTTCAGCTGCAGCCTTGAAAATAATATTATAAGCAGTGTTTGGCGATATCACAAAATGTCACGCTCAGAGTATGTGTTGTGAATGACTCTCAGGTCTTGTTTACACTGCTCTGTTTTTAAGTGAAACCGTAACATTTATGTTTCGGTTTTGGCCATTTGCATACACAACAGTAATTGTTTTCTCTGACAACAAAACATTTAATTCCATACTGAGAGTGGAAAATTTGGAAACACCTGACATCGGTGTGAAACAGCAAATTTGCAACTGGCTTCAGTCAACAGTTTTTCTGTGCTTGAGTAGATGAACAACAGTAAAAATGGCAGATAAAGGGCTGTTAGTGCTTTTATTTGGTCTGACAGACCGTCTACATTTTCCTGAACCTTTTTAGATTAAAAATTTAAAATCAAGTGTAGCTGCAACCAAACAAACGTTTGTGTATTCATTATTTGAATGCAGCTGATTTAAAGCTCGAGATCGAAGTGCCACGTGCGAGTGTTGCTAAAATACAGATATCACAGCGCCAGGTTGGCTCCAAAAGTTTAATTGTAGATGTCAACCCAATAATAGTTCCCTGAGCCTCATGCCCCCGGTACCAGGGGCAACACAGTTTTTTCCGTTTTTTATTTCTTTTAACTTATTTTAACTTAAGATCTGTGAGTTGAACCTGGACATGTTTGGTATCAAAACAAAGCTAAGAATCTTTATTTTTACATCCACCAAACACAGTTCAAACGACAGGCAGTTGAATCAGAAAGTAAACAAACTGCACATAATGGTGTCACTGCAAATCTGTAAATAGTACATTCAAGCTGTACTTGTACTGTAAAGGAAAATCTTTTGACATTATTTTTTAAAGCAAGTCAAAGTAGATTCCTAAATATGTTGTAAAGTGGATTGAAAGGTTTTTTTCTCTTGATTTTGAGTGAATCCAACTGAAGTCAAACATACACTCACCGGCCACTTTATTAGGTACACCTGTCCAACTGCTCGTTAACACTTAATTTCTAATCAGCCAATCACATGGCGGCAACTCAATGCATTTAGGCATCTAGACATGGTCAAGACAATCTCCTGCAGTTCAAACCGAGCATCAGTATGGGGAAGAYAGGTGATTTGAGTGCCTTTGAACGTGGCATGGTTGTTGGTGCCAGAAGGGCTGYTCTGAGTATTTCAGAAACTGCTGATCTACTGGGATTTTCACGCACAACCATCTCTAGGGTTTACAGAGAATGGTCCGAAAAAGAAAAAACATCCAGTGAGCGGCAGTCCTGTGGGCGGAAATGCCTTGTTGATGCCAGAGGTCAGAGGAGAATGGGCAGACTGGTTCGAGCTGATAGAAAGGCAACAGTGACTCAAATAACCACCCGTTACAACCAAGGTAGGCAGAAGAGCAACTCTGAACGCACAACATGTCGAACTTTGAGGCAGATGGGCTTCAGCAGCAGAAGACCACACCGGGTGCCACTCCTTTCAGCTAAGAACAGGAAACTGAGGCTACAATTTGCACAAGCTCATCGAAATTGGACAAGAGAAGATTGGAAAAACGTTGCCTGGTCTGATGAGTCTCGATTTCTGCTGCGACATTCGGATGGTAGGGTCAGAATTTGGCGTCAACAACATGAAAGCATGGATCCATCCTGCCTTGTATCAACGGTTCAGGCTGGTGGTGGTGGTGTCATGGTGTGGGGAATCTTTTCTTGGCACTCTTTGGGCCCCTTGGTACCAATTGAGCATCGTTGCAACGCCACAGCCTACCTGAGTATTGTTGCTGACCATGTCCATCCCTTTATGACCACAATGTACCCAACATCTGATGGCTACTTTCAGCAGGATAATGCGCCATGTCATAAAGCTGGAATCATCTCAGACTGGTTTCTTGAACATGACAATGAGTTCACTGTACTCAAATGGCCTCCACAGTCACRAGATCTCAATCCAATAGAGCATCTTTGGGATGTGGTGGAACGGGAGATTCGKATCATGGATGTGCAGCCGACAAATCTGCGGCAACTGTGTGATGCCATCATGCCAATATGGACCAAAATCTCTGAGGAATGCTTCCAGCACCTTGTTGAATCTATGCCACGAAGAATTGAGGCAGTTCTGAAGGCAAAATGGGGTCCAACCCGTTACTAGCATGGTGTACCTATTAAAGTGGCTGGTGAGTGTAGTTTCTCATTTTATATAACATATATGGTGACAAATGCATGTTTGGATAATTTTTCAAAAGAATAAACATTCAATAACAAGTCTTTTAAGGTAGTTAAGAAAAAATAACTTTTGAATGTAAAAACTTAAGATTTTTTAACATTTTTTAATGGTACCATCATGGTCTGTCCTGTGCAGAATGAAAAAAAATGCTAAATTATTTCTTTACTAAAACCTCTGTAACTTCGCTCCAGTTAATTTTAGCAGCATGAATCTTTGCACAGATAATGTCCACAAGTGGATTTATGGTTTCCAAGAGTTTTTAGCCTGATTCATTATGGTTTTAAATAGGTTATATACTGTCTAATGAAAAAAAATTTCAGGTGAGAGTGAACAAAAATAAAAATAATTATGTTCCATCCCCAATATCTTTAAAACTACATTAGCTGTTTTAATCATTATACTTCCAATGAAATCTCCCAAGTGTTAGCTTTATTTTGATACCAAGATTATTTAAGTAGAGTTTGTAAATGCTGAGATACACTCAATTACATTTAGCATGGCATTTTGAGCAAAAACTTCCAAGAAAACCTGTTGGGGCTTAAGAGCTTAAGTACACTTAACAAAAATATAAACGCCTCATGTCAAATATTGTTGCCATGGTGAGTTAACAACAGTAAATGAGCATTTGCTGACATTTTATTGTACAAAGGTAATATTTCTCTTGATTTGTGTATAATTTTTTAATCTTAACTTGCTGTCAGTGAGCATTACTCATTGCGTTGTTTTTTTACTCGGTGCATGTGTGGGGGCATGTCCAGTGGGTGATCAGACAAAAAGAGCAACAGCTGGACAATCCTTGGAATGGGGTCAATAAAAGGCCACCCCAAAATGTCAATTTTGTCACGTCATAATGCCTCCAATGTCGTAAGTTATGCAGGAGCATGCCATTGGCATGTTGGATGCAGGCATGTCTACCAGAGCATTAGCTGCAAGGTTCAATGTCCATTATTGGACCATAGCCCGTTTGAGAGTTTGTTTCCAACAGACTGGCACTACTGCAAATCGACCTCACCCTCGTCGGCCACTCCAGCACAAGATCACCACATCCGGCTCGTCCATCTGTGGGATCGACTAAGACCAGTGACACAGACAGCTGATGAGACTATTGGTCTGCACAACAGACGCATCACACCTCAGACTGTCCGTAACCGCCTACGAGAAGCCAATTTGCAAGCTCGGTGCCATCACCATGGTCTAGATCTCGCTGCTGTCTGGCGTAGGAACTGACTCACATGGGCAAATGCACATGTCCGATGGCCCTTGGCACGTTGGAGAAGAGTGATGTTCACTGATGAATCCAGGTTCCAGTTGTATCGTGTATTTGACATGGGGCGTTTATATTTTTGTTAAGTGTAAAAAAGGACCAGTGAGGCAGTGATTTTTTTCTAACAGAGTTGAAATAATCAATGCCAAATTTTTCAACAAAAACCTTGCAGTTTGTTAGCACATATGTAAAATATGACTTGACTGAATTATAGCCATTTGTGTTTTTGAAGGTCAACTGGCTATAGTGGCCACCTTGAATCAGGCTCACTCACAAAGTTAATGATTTGTAGATGAACATTCAACAATTACTTTTTTAAGAGTTTCCATTGATTTCATTTAGTGGTTCATGAAATCTTTTGGTAGAAGACAGACATATGACATACACACAGACATGTGCAACAACAGTATCATCCACTTTTTTCTTTTAATGGCAGACAAGACGAGAGGAAAATACGTTTCATTAGAATTTGTGCTGCATCATTTAATACTTTAATTTTGCTGCATGTTTGTTCGCCTCAATATGTGACTGTTAAGTTCTAATTCTGGTTGGTGATTAACTCGTTTAAACTATTAAAACAAAAACAAATATACCCTGAAGCATTCTGTGGATTCAAGCCCTTAAAACCTGAAAAAAATACTAATAAGTTTAATTGTTCTAAAAAAATGGAATGGAGTGCAGGCTTCCAGATGATTATCACCCCAGCTGACATGCATTTCCAGACATTGTTATAGATTTTTATATAGGAGCGTTTGCTGTAGCTGATTTAGCCTCAGTCCACATTTTCTGGCTTTCTTCATACTCCAGTTTATGGTGGTGATTAAACAAGTTTGGAGTATTAGCATTAGCAAAGTAAGCACTGGAAGGAGAAAACGTGGGGTGTGGCTGTTAACATGAAGAAGTTAGTTTGCCTGATTTGTAAGTGTAGTTTTGGAACACAGGGTAACTGGTTTAAAGTCAAAACATGCAGGTGTAATTGTCATTTATTAATCGTCATTAGTCGTTATCAGCTAAATGCCACAATTAATCGAGATTAATTTTTTTTGCTAATATCGCCCAACAATATACATAAGTACTTTAAACATACAGTCTAACATTTTTCCACATATCTCATTATAAAATTGTTTTTCCCCATCAGTTCCAAGGCTTCTTTGATAGAAGGAAATGGTCCATTGTGTTGGAGGGGAAGTGTCATTGGCTGTAGTCCAAATAGATGGTCAGACGCTGTCTCATTTGCTGGGATGTGGATTAGAGGCCGAGCATCTGCCACAAAAACTAAACCCAGGGAATGAAGACAGCTGAAATTATAACACCTTTTGTGTTTTATAACCATAAAGGAGTCTCTTTCATTGTGGGTTCAGACTTTGTACACAGTGTTTTTGTTTTCACACCGAACTTAACCCAAGCTGCATGCTCACTGAGCTGTCTTGCGTTCACAGAGGTGACTCTGAAGATTCATCTGAGTGATGCCAGCACTCACCAGCCACTGTTTGGAGCCACCGTGCAGCTCTTCTCCAATCAGTCTTTTGTAACCACAGAAACCTCATCAGCTGACGGCAATGCCTACCTGCGCTTCCCCTACCGCCTTGGGATTCCACTGGTTGTCACTGCAACAAAACAGGGATATGTGCCAAACTCTGTTCCCTGGACTCCTTCCAGATTACCTGGTAAGTGTATCTGTGACCAGGGGTGTGTGATACCTTTTAAAAATAAGTACAAAAATATAATTGTGTATTGGTCCTATTTAGTAGGTCAGTACATATGTGTGGGCAGGTTAAAAGATTTCAGTTATGTGTGTTTATAAAAAAATTGTGTACGTTTGTGCCAGGTGTGTGAGCTAATGATGATTGGAGTGCTCCATTACTAATTTATGGCACTAGATGCCAAAACCCAGCATGGGGGTCTCCTTAAGCTTCCCTTTCTCTAAAGCACACACGCTCAAACACAAAATATCCCCCCAGAGTCTGTAGAAATGTGTGTGTGTGTGTATGTGTTGCTGCGAGGCAGTTTATTTAGGAGGTTTTTATGTGCCAACGGAACGGCAGCCAATTGGATTATCACGCTTACCAACTCTGAACAATAGAGGAGTGAAAGGAAGGAAGGAAGAGGGTAGAGGTACAGTTTACTATGTCAGACATTTGTTCTGTGCAGACATAATGAGAGCTTGTGTATAAAAAGTGTAGAAAGATCTCCACTTGTTATATCTGATGATAATCAGAAATATTCCCTGGTATGTTTCTGCTCTGATACTTAATTTATTCTGTCAGTTAACACAGAACCCTTATTGTTGTGTTTCACTCCTAGTGTTTTCCTCAATCAGTCTTGATCTGCTCCCAGAAAGAGCTGCTACCCTGATGGTGTATGAAGATGTTGTTGAGATTGTGTCTGGTGTGCAAGGTAAGCACAATGTTGAAATGTGTCTTAAGCTATACCTTCAACTCGCTTACAAAAAGAAAAGAAAAAGAAATGAGCAACTTTCTTTCAAAACTCTTAATTGGAAAGACTTGATCTATTAAAAAACATTTCATTCAGGTGCATAAACAATCAGGTGATATACTGTATCTCAGGGCTTCTGCTAGTTGGAGAACTACATTCATAGAAAAGTCTTCCGAATGGCTTGTGGCATTCCCGGGTGTTCTCAATTTCCCCGTGTTCAGTCCTGTCGCTTGAGTTTAAAACTTTATGTGCAGCAAATTTTTACTTACAATAGTCTCAAAGTCGATGCAGGCATCTCAAACACAAATTTTTTTTGTGAGAGTCTTTGACCCGCCTCAAGAACGCTAAAGCTGCATTTTAACACCTGCGTTGGAGTTCTCGACAGACAGAAGACTTGTCCAGGTCTTAAAACCAACAAATGACCTATAATAATATTGACAAATTAGGCCAAATTTGCTGAGATGTGTACAAAGCAAGCCAAGATGGGTATGGTGTTGTCTGACGCCTTATTGGAAGGGGCGGGCTGTCAGTGCAAACAGTTTGTCGTGGCTACATTTCTACATAGAATTGCATATAAATATTAGTTTTTCTTTGGTTAGGTTTGGTTAGTTTCTTTGGTTTTTCTATGAGATACATCATACACTGCAGATGTGTGCACCTTGGCAATTGTCGATTCCAAACTGAGTTTCTAACTCTAACCCTAACTGGAACAGCCGCTCTGTCTGACCAAGAAAAGTCACGTGATAACCAATACACCTCATTGACTGTGATTTTAAAATACTGCTGTTCAAAAGGTGACATGGCTTTCTGGTTACTTGGTCACTCAGAATCAATGACACTGCAATAGAAAATTTGCTTATATTCATTTTTTTTTGCTCCTGTAATTACGAGTTGCCAATCAGTCTGAACAAAATTAGCATAGATGTGCAGAAAACTGAGGGGGTGGGACAAGACGTCTGTCAATAATTCTGTACCATGAAAGACATTAAAAGCACAAGGCTTTGAGAAGTTAGCCAACAGATTTTCCTGAGACTGTTTGGCACCAGTTTTGTTGAAAATATCACAAAATATAATACAATATTTTAATTTTGTGTTTATTAGGTATTTTTCACATCAGGGAGGGCCCAGCCCTACTATAACATTTATACTAGCCATCTCTGGTTGTTTGTCTTCATTTAGAACGTTGTTTCTTTGTACATTTTCAAACCTAATCTTTCCAACATATAATGGATAAGTAGTGAAAACTGTTCTCCTGTGATTTATTGTTCACCCACCCCCAAACCCCTCAGAAGACCCCAGGCTGGCTTCACATTGTCATTACAACTGAGCTCAGTCCATCTGCCAAAAAAGATGATTTGATGCAGTTTAAAGCTTTAGAGCATTTACTATTAAAGCTTGAAGTTTAAAACTCTTGTTATAGTATATTTTTTGCCTTTGTATTCATACTACAACTTTAAAGGAACAAGAAACAAATTTCACGTTTGCACACATTTGCAAATCTAATTCATGACTGTGTGGCTGTTGGTCGGCTGCTTTGTTCAGGTCTAATGATATTAGACAAGGTTGTCCCACTCAGGCAAATTAATTCAGTCTCTTTGTCTGCTCAACCTTTTGTGTATTTGTGACCACCAAGGGTGTAATTCAGCCATATTGTGTGACTCTTTAAGAAAGAAAATGACAGAAATAGTCAGCAGGCTCCATTAATATGTGAACCTTCTGCTCTGAGCACGTGCAGAAGTGAAGCAGAGGGTATCCCGACACTCTTTCAGACACTCTGTCATAATGTTTTGTGTGCCTAAGCACTGGGGGGGGGGGTGTAAACTTTGGCGTGTGGCATAAATATAATGGAGGGAGAGGAGAATAGAAAGAATACAGTATTCTGGGACGTGGGGTCATGGGTGGAGCAGTTAGTGAATGTGGAGGGAGGGATGTTAGAAAGGGGGGATGGGCGGATCAACAGAGGGAGAAACAGATGAGAGAAAAGTGGAGGGAAAGAGACAAGAGAGCCGGGGAAGGGAACACACAAAGAACAGCAAAGGGGTCATTTCCTTTCATGAAAACAACTGCAGAAGGGAAACCGTCACAGTTGAACTTATATTTTTTTAGAACCGGTTTTAGACGGAAACATGAAAGGTGGCCTCCTGTTGCAGATACAGAAGTCATAAGAGAAGAAACATAAATGATGAACACTCATGTTTCTGTCTCACTTCTCAGGAATGTGCGCTTGATCCTGTACGACCTCAAAATGACATCACCTTGCCGAGATTAGCATTGTGCACTTAATTTCTTATTTTATTGTATTTAATGTGTTGATGGCAGGGTGAGACCGGACGAGAGACGGTGACTGTGGGGAATAAAATGGAAACAAGTACTTGTGCAGGGAAACATCAACAGTAGGCATCAGAACAGCAGTGAAAAAAAGGCTGACTGATGCATTGTCTTTAATGTATCGATCCAGAGTTACTTCCATTACGCCTAACTGAGGGCTGAAATTATGAAAACGCATTAGATGACAATGAGGGAAATTAAACTGCCTTGTTAAATGTGCTAAAACAAACATCAGGATCAAAGACGGCCTGTTAATTTCTTGTGAGTTGGAGGTCTCCTTTAGAGAGTGAACCTCACATTAGTTTAATCTCTTTGTACAACACTCCTCAACCCTTATTGAACATTTTGTATTAAACAGAAAAAATATACATCTCACTTTTCTGTTTTTGATTTGTTTCCCCTCTTGTTCTTAGTGATCAAAATATTTTTGTAGCTTTCAACTTCCAAGTCTCTAAATCCATAAAAAGATGATCATGAACAAGCCCCTTTTTATTAAACTAAAACAAGAACCCGTTCGTACTTGTCGAAATAGGCAGTTTTTAAGAAATACTGCTTCAATAGAATTGTGCAAATTAAACATTTTTGTTAGCGGCGTTAGTTAATATTTTTTAATTTTGTAACATTGGGCCTCATGCAAGAACCGTTCATACGCACAGATTTGTTCTTAAGTTGTGCGTATGAGTGATTTAGGAGAATTTGTGGTATTCACCAATGCTTTTGTATTCTAAGATTTTCTTCAGATACGAACAAAATTCACGAGTGGTCCAGACCTGTCGTATATTTTACGAGCAGTCAGTTTGCTGTTAGCCAGGCGGATTTTCCTCCCTAATAACTTTATATTTCATTAGTTTGAAGATATTTTGAGTTGAAAATAAATCACACTCCATAATTATGTTGACAGTAGGCTATTCTGCTTGAATTAGAATTATAATTTTAAATGTTTTTTAAATTTAGACTAACAATATAAATTGTCCGGCCGGCCGGCTTATCCAGGATCGGGTCGCGGGGGCAGCAGCAGAGAGA